TCAAACAATTCTTATAATAAATAAGTTCTTCCTAATGTTTAAGTAGAATCTCTTTTCTTGTAATTTTAATCAACTGGTTTGTGTTCTAGTCTCTGGAAAAGCAAAAACAAGTATGCTCTATCTTCAACATGACATCCCTTTAGATGTTTAAAGATGGCTATCATGTCACCACTCAGTCATCTCTTTTCTAAGTTAAACATATCCAATTTTTAAAGAATTTATTTTGAAAGTCCAGTCTAATAATATTGTTTAAACATAGAAAGAAGCTATTCTTTAACATCTTTTTAATAAAGGAAAAATTCCACTGGAAACTGCTGTATATTACAATATAGAGTAGCTGGCAGTGGCTGAAGATGAAATACATGTAACTTGTCCGAGTCCACACAATTGTACTTGGTCAACATACATTCTGCAAAATGAGGTGAAGAATTCTGAAATCAAAAGCAATTTAGCACCTCCAGATGTATGTGAGAAGATGCAATTTTTAATGAATAGCCACATTTTAAAAGTTCCTACCTGTTTTTAAAAAATGAAGTATAGGAAAATTTTATAGACCAACCTGTTCCCTACTGTTATAGTTTTATATTTGCAGGGGGCTCCTCTCCCATTAGAAATGTATTAAAAAATGTGATACATAGATTATGAAGTGATATAGTCCATTCTGCTACTTCAGAATGCTGTTATCATTATGATAATAGCACCTTGAAGTGAAAGGATGGACTATACCACTTCATAACCTATGTGACTGGTAGTCACATTATTGAATACATTCTTCTTCATTCTGATGCACATGGAGATCAACTACCACACTGCACAAAACAACCTATGTAATTTGAGAGTCACAAGCAGATGCAGCCACTGAGTATTGCCAAAGATAACAAACAACAGGTATGACTTAATATCCATTAACTATTGCAATAGAAATGCAGAAGATAATTGTGATATTAATGAATTAGCTGGTCTACGGCATTCACTTTTCTCATGCATGAATCTGCTTTTATTTAAGCCTCGATTCTTTAAGCAACTGCTTATGTCTCTTTTTCTTATTATTTTGTAAGAGTCTAGCTACTTCTTCAAGATAAGCTTGGACTGAGTTCCAAGCCTGGCCACCTGGTACAGGAGTGTCTGGGATTTGTCATGAAGTTATCTAGATAGACTGTTTGCCAAGTATTAATGCTAGCCATTTGACCAAGGGAAATGTATCGGCCTCATCCAAACCACGTGCAATCAATAAAAGCATGTGGATATACAAGTCCCAAAACTACTCCTGACAAATGGACCTCTATGGGGACTGATGCCAGTAAAGATGCTGATACAACCAGGAATCCAGACACTGTCATTCTTTAAGAGGTTCCCAAGAATAGAAAGAACATCAGCACTGCTATCTTACTATGTACTACATATATTAATAAAATCTATACATTTACCTCCTATTAGGACATTCCTTGCCTCTAAATCCTATTTAAGAAATAACTATTGTCTTCTGGAAAAATAGCGACTCTTTCACACCCACAATCAGGATGGAAAGGATCCACTCAGATTGTCTGATAGAAAGGTAATTGTCAATAGTAAGAAAACATGTATATATACACATACACATTTTAAAAGATTGTGTAAAATGACTTGGGAGGAACAAACCAAATCTACTTCTGTATCTTATCTATTCCAGTGGCAGTGTCCAAGCAGAAAATGGAGTGATGGCTACCCCCTGGCTTTCCCAAAAATTCTGATATTCAGATATTGCCTCTGAATAGAGAAAATTTATTTAACTGAACAGTCATAGATTCACATATTCATCTTCCATTAATTATGCATTGTATGAAAAAGTACATTTAAACTATCTTAAAATTTAAATTGCCATTTTACTGCTGTAGCACAGAGAAACGATGTTGTCAGAAAACTCTCCAAATCAAGTTATCAAACGATTCCTTCCTTGACTACACACAGTCAGTTTAAAACAGACAAGAAATTTGTTAAGAAACATGGGGTTAAATTCAACTGCTAGTCTTCAACTAGCATAGACTCCCCTGAATCAATGAGGCTTGACTTAAGTGTTGATTTAATGAAGATCAGATAAATGTTGATTGATTCTGCAATTGATTCAAAGATGATACTAGCAATTGGATTTAGTCATTATTTTTAACACAGCTATAAAAATAGTTTTCTTTGCAATGTTTTTTTTTATTGTTCCCATGTGATTAGGGTGTTTTTTTAAAATATTGCATGCCACTTTGGTGAGTTTCAGAAAAGTGCCACAGAAATGCTCCAAATAAATACTGTATATACTCAACTATAAGTTGAGAAATTTATGCCTCAAAATGTCCTCCAAAATCCTGCCTCGACTTTATATAGGGCAATATGGTAATACTGCTTTAAAAGCTCTTAAAATAAATGCCCAAACTTCTTTGTAACTAAACAGTTACAAACAGATCCTCAAACAGCTACTGAGGCAAGGGTACAGAGAGGGAGAGGGTACAGAGGGGGGGAGAGGCACACTGTTCCCCAGTGTGCCTCTCTATGTGTGAATGTCCCTCCTCCTCCAGCCTTTCCCCCATAGCCAGGGCTCTTCAAGGAGCAGCTGCTGAGGCAAAGGCAGGGACACAGGGAGAAAGATGGAGAAAGCTTGCTTCTCCCTTTGAGTTCCCTGGCATGCCTCTCTCTGTGTGAATGTCTCTCCTCCTCTAGTCTTTCCCCCATAGCCAGGGCTTTTAAAGGAGCAGCTGCTGAGGGATGGTGGGAAAGAGAAAGCTTTTGCCTCTCCATCTGTGTTGCCTCACACTCAATTCCTCCTCCCTCATAGCCAGAGATCTACTGAGGCAAGGGACAGAGAATACCCTTGACTTATCCACAGGGCATATCAAAATCCACAATGTTGGCCCCAAAACTTGCCCTCGACTTATACATGAGGTCGACTTATAATTGAGTATAATATAGACTCTGGCAGTCTGTAAAGGCCCTGTAAAGACTCCTATGTGAGAATGTTCTTTTTTTACCCTGTAGGGAAGACTCTATGCTGATGAACGTCATCTACTATGTTTTTCCTAATAATGTTTAGTGCACTAACAGCTTGTGATCTGAAGATGGTCATCCTGCCATTAAGGGGTGGGGTCTTCTCCTTGTATGGGAAGGTCCCCTTAGATCTTTTTGGAACAAAGAAATCATCTACTGAATATATAATCAACTTTTAAAAACAATAACAGGAGATATCAGAAACTGGTTAAACAGATCATTTAAAAGGATCAAACTTACCATTCTGCAACTGGCTTGGCAATAGCTTCAAAAATTTCTTCTTGTTTTGATTCCTGATCAAAAACTTTCTGAAATCTGCAAATTATAAACAATGGTCAAGTAACATCTTAACACTACTCAATTCTTTTTCTTCTTTTTTCTGTTTGTAACTAAGTCAATGTTTACATCACTGGACTTAGATAACCTAGCACAATGTTTTCCCTGTAGTCTTTACCACACTATGCTCTTGTGCTATTGAATTCACAAAAGAATGGAAAACACTGCTGCTTTGACAAAATCTGTACAATAAAATCCTCTGATAAAATGATACTGCTTAGAAAAAGCTAACTATTTTATTACTGTCATGGGGATCAGTGTTTCCAAACAGCCCTACACAGGAACTTGTATAAACAAACCGAGAATCAAATAGAACACATAAAGAGTACAAATTATTTTCAGCCTTTTTCTTTAGAAGAAAAAGGAAGTTATTATGGAAGTTAATTTAGCAAAGGATTACATATTTCAAAAAGAATTGTGCTCAGTTTTTGTCATCAAGCATAAGTAAATGTTACACTATTTTAACCCAGCCAGCAAGGCATAGTGTTGGCGAACTTGTGGCACGTGTGCCCTCTCTAGCATGTGAAGTTGTCACTGAGGGCACAGGGAGGCCAAGGCAAGTAGGGGCAGGGCACGCATGCTTGGCCCAGCTCCTTGTCATGGTTCAGTTTGCCCTGGGAGAACCAGGCTGTGGCAAGGAAGGGTGGGGTGGTGCATGCGGCTAGCCCGGCTCCTTCCTGCAGCCTGGTTCTTCCGCAGAAAACTGAGGCACGACAAGGAGGAGCCATGTGAGGGCCTTCTGGGCAGAACTCCCACCCCTTTTGGCTGGATGCCCTGCACCTTGCTATGCTATGGGACTCTGGGAACTGTACTTTTGTGAGGTGTAATGAGGCCATCCATGTTGTTATTGTGTGCCTCCAAGTTGTTTCCAACTTATGGCGACCTTAAGGCAAATCTATCATGGGTTTTTCTTGGCAAGATTTCTTCAGAGGAGGATTGCCATTGCCTTCTCCTGAGGATGAGAGAGTGTGACTTGCCTAAGGTCTCCCAATGGGTTTCATGGCCATGTGCATTTCTTCAGAGGAGGTTTGCCATTGCCTTCCTCTGAGGCTGAGAGAGTGTGACTTGCCCAAGGTCTCCCAGTAGGTTTCATGGCTGAGCTGGGATTTAAGGCCATTCTCCAGAGTTGCATGCTCAAACAGCTGGCTCTCTTTGTTCTTGCTACTGTGCTGTACATTCTGTGCAATCTGTGCTTTATTATGCTTCTTGTTGTTGTGTGCCTCCAAGTTGTTTCCTAACTTATGGGGCCAGAGCACCCTCCCTCCCTTCCGAGAGCCAGTTCCTGGCGACCCTAAGGTGAAACTATCATGGGGCAAGCTGCGTCAGAGGGTGATTTCCATTGTTATCTTCTGAGGCTGAGAGACTGTGACTTGTGTGTGTGGTGCCTTCAAGTCATTTCCCACTTTTGGCAACCCTAAAATGAAATTATCATGGAGTTTCCTTGGCAAGTTTCATCAGAGGGGGGGTTACTATTGCTAACCTGAGGCTGAGAGAGTGTGCCTTGGGTTTTTCTCCCCCAGATGCCCTGCCCCCAGAAAGCAGAAGTCCCATGCCCCTGGACATCCCATCCCCATTAGTCACACCCCCCGGAAGTCTCACTCTCAGCACCTGGTGACACCCGGTGCAGGAATGCCACTGAGTTCACTAAAAGGTTTGCCATCACTGGCATAGTGGTTTGAGCATTGGGCTACAACTCTAGAGACCAGGGTTCGATTCCCAGTTTGGCCATGAAACCCACTGCTCACATGCTCTCAGCCTCAGGGAAAAACAATGGCAAACCTCCTCTGAACAAATCTCGTCAAGAAAACTTCATTAGGGTTGGCTTAGGGTCACCATAAGTCAAAAATGACCTGAAGGTGCACAACAACAACAACCACTTATAACAGGCTACATCTCAAATTGATTATACTGAAGTAGCCTTTGCTTTTGGGGAAAAAAATACTCCTAGTGGGAGTACATTATTCCACAGAATACTTCTACTTAATATAAGATCCTTGTTTAATAAATTTATTCTGAACTCCCCAATTTGGCTATATTGCAAATGCCTTACAAACTTCTTAAGAGTTCTAGCACTCAGGAAAATCCATTGCAGTGTCCAGAAGAGCAGTTTACATTAATTCTTTGATTACACTTACCCAGAGAGTGATTTTATAATTTGAAAACTGAAGCAATACTAACAATGCTGCTTAATAAACAGCTAGAAAATAATTAACAAAGCACAAAATTCAAACTATGTGAGCAGACTGCCCTCATGAGATATCCTTTTCTCTTCCATCTACATCTCCTATATGATCTCCCATCCTCTTAAGCAGATCTGGAGGAGGGCAAATCCATTTCATTTGCTGGTGGATGGATAATATTGGATGCAACTCAAAGGCATTCCGTGCACATTTGTTTAAGAAAGCCCTTCCTTACTGAGAAGGGCTTATTTTCAAATAAAGATTTCTAGATCTGGCAATAAAGAGGTCAGCTTTGAGTCTTTTATTTTTCTTCCACATACCGTATTTTCTGGTGTATAAAACAACTGGGCACATAAGACGACCCCCAACTTTTCATTAAAATATAGAGTTTGGGGTATACTCGCTGTATAAGACAACCCCTCTTCCAACACACACCAAATAAAAATTAAAAAAAACATCAGATTTGATTTCAATATGGTAATTGTAATTCAAATGCTTATGACATGCAAGTACTTAGCAGGAAAACTGTCACTAATAAACACAACAACAGCTCCCATGTTCCACAGCATTTATTTCTGCAGTGTTTTGGACCTTATTTTTAAAAAAATAATCCAGATTTAAATGCTGCTTTAAAAATATTTCAATCTCCCAGCTATGAGATGGTTGGGAGGAAATGAGAAAGTGTTGGGAGGAAGGACTCCCAATATACTAGGTGATGTATTCTGGGGTATGTACAATTTGCCGCTAAGTAAGTGACCCTGGGCATGTCACACACTCTCAGCCTCAGAGGA